CTACTGAGTATCACTTACAAAAGGAAGAGTAGTGTTGGGCAGAATGGCAAGCAGCTCCTCAAGCACAAACCCCCGTTTCGGGCCGTCTTGCAAATAATACACAATTGGCTCGTTGGGCTTTACAAGGGGAGGCAGGAAATTATGGACTTTCAAAGACCAGACAGCATCAGTGGCTCGCTGCCTCCCTCCTTCCAGCTCACCAGGCTGATACAGGTATCGAACATTTATAATTGGCGAGGATTTTTTCCATTTTTTCCTGAAGGGCGTAAAAAGGGAGTAGAGGGTTTTGCAACAACTGCCTTTTCTTTGATGGCCTCGACGGGTTTTCTGCCTGTGAGGCGAGTGACTTCGCCGTTCAGAGCAGAGACCACAGCAGGAAGCTGAACGACCCATTCGGAAGATCTTTGGCCCTCAGGAAGCCCCATTTCGACAGCACACTGTTGTCTGGACAGGCGCTCAGCACGGTTGAGTCTTTCCACGATTGCCTGGTCCAGGTGAATCTCCGTGCGCCGACGTCGAATGTTTGTTTTGTGTTTTTCCATTTCTTTCGTGACAGCGCCCATGAATTATCGGCCTGTGTCGACCTGAAGCAGATGTGACCATTTCAAAGGCCCGCGTTTGTAAATTTTTTGAAAAGCGCTTGCAACCTCAGGTCTTTCAAGGTCAAGGGTTCAGTCTCTTTGAAACGGCTGTCCACATCGACGACGGTCAAAGCATATTTGTATGTTTTTCGTCCCCTTAAGTGTCGTGTGGAAGAAAAAGAAGGCCTGCCTGGTTAACTGCGTTTGGCGTGGACACATCGAATTTGAGGCCAGGAATGTGTTTTGGAGCAGGAAGATATATTTGCCAAAGGGCTTGCCGTATCAGCCATTTTTTCGCATCATCTACGGAGACTTTTGTCGCGGTGGCGAGGCCTTTCCAGTAGCCTTGAGGGCTGTAGAAGATTTTCGAAAGTTTGGTGTTCATGTTATGATTAAATATGGTGAAAAAATAGCAATGGAAATCCTGTGATACACGCTATCACCGGAAATGCAAGAAAAAAAATTGCTTTGTAAAGAAGTGGCGGAAACAAGAGAAAAAATGGAAGACGTTTTGCCAGATTTTTTGAGTGAACTTCGGGCCAAACATGAGCAAACGCTTAACCTTATGGATGATGAATTTTGTTATATGAGTTTTTATAACAAAAGAAAGGCAGCGTATCTAAGCGCAAGAGCACTGGTGCCATCAAAAATTAACTTGCCTTGTTTTTGCAGAGAGCTTGGCTAGTAGAAGTCAGAGAACTTTGGTTCGCTGGACGCCGTGAGCGGCTCGTCTTGGTGCACACGGTTGTAGTTGTTTTCGTGCTGCGTTTTGATCCAGTCAAGCAGCTTTGTTCTTTGTTTTTCATATTTGACATAAGCGGCTTGATAATCCTCCAGAGCTTCGTCATGTCTTTTTCTCTTCGAGGGAAGCCTGTGGGTCATCGCCAGAAAGAAAACGGGCAAAAAAAATTACCGTCAGTAAAAGCAACAGCCTTAAGCAGAGCACCATCAGCTATAATAGCAACACTTGCCATGCAATATACAATACCCTCAAACTTAGACGTTTTTGGGAAGACAGAGCGATTCCTGCAGCAGTCACGACCATGAACTTCACGTAGTTCATCGCATTGCTGCTGGAGTCGGCGGTGAAGTTTTCGTTCGCAGCTTTTTTCGCAATCTACCCGATGCCGGCGGCTAGGCCGGTAAGCGTTGCGGCATCGAGAACAGATATTACAAGCTTGTTTTTGGACTTGATTGTATATATTATGCTGAAATTTCAATCAAGAAGCGAAGTTTGTGGCGGGGCTCTCGCTCGGGTGCCGGGTTTCGTCGAAGGGGGGCCATAATCGCCTCTCGCTGATAATAAACGCCCGGAGCACAGATAGCCAGGCCTCCTATGTCAAGTATCAAATAGAGGTTAATTCTATCGTTGTCGCTTTCTGTCTACTTTTTGCTCTCTCTGCTTTGCAGGGGCAGCTGGTGTTTCTTGGTTCTTTTTTTGCTCAAGGGCCACGCGGTTTCGTTCGGCTACCTTTTTACCAGTAGCAACTCGCCAAGGATGTTTTGCAGGCTTTGTTGTAGGAGCTTTTGCCAAAAATTGCTCTGGGACTTCAGCAGGTGTTTCGGCAGGTGCATCAGCTTTCGTTTCCATGTTGTATACAATAATGTGAAAATTTTTTGAGGGGATCTTTTGACGGTCCTTTCTCAGGTTCTTTGCAGGCTCCCTTTTCAGGTTCTTAGTCAACTTCTTTGCAAGGCTCTTGTCCAGGTTTTTGACAGATTCCTTTATAGGTTCTTTTTCAAAGTCGATGTTTTTGGCGGAGCGGAGTTGGCGGAGCGGAGTTGGCAACCGCAAACAGGCGGCCGCAGCGCGGTACTATAATTCCAGCCACGGGTGAGAATGTCGAGTAAATAACGAAATCTCCTGGCAGATCCTTTTGCAAAGCTTCCACGTCATCCACTTTGAGAACCACTCCAATGGCTTTGCTAGCAAAGCCAGTGGAATAGCCTAAGCCATAGGCCTCATATCGTTTGTAAATTTCTCCACATCTTTGTCCGAGAGGTGTGTTCATGAGAAACTTGGATGCCGAGCGCCTTGTTGGATTTGCCCGTGGAAACAAGCACAGCAAGCTTTTCACGTTGTTCTGAAAGGTGGTTGGCAGGGAGCGAAACAGGAAAATCTTAGGGTTTCGAGCTGTCTCGGGTGGCCTCCAGCATTTGCGTGACTTCGTTGAGGGCTTTTTGTTCAGCATCCTGTTCCGATATGCCGTATATATTAACTGAAAATTTTGATTCCAAAGGCATGGCGCAGGGCAACGACCAGATAAGGATATTTTTGCTTTTTCAGCTCAGCTATCAGTTCCTTGTACCCTTCGGAGGAAATCTCGCCGGCGTAGTCTTCAGGGATGGCTTTCATGGTTTTGCCCTTCAAAGTGTAAAACAGAACAATGGCGGCTACGTTTTTACGAAATGGTTTTGAAATGTTTGTGATCTTCTGTGTCAGTACTCAAACGCAGATGCCTGTATGGCGGGCTGAGAAGCCGAGGGAAACCAGCTGACTTGTGCGGCCTTTCACGTCCTTCGAGGCAGCGCAATTGTCCAAAACAATAAGCGTGTTTGTTACCTGAAAAAAATATCCGCTCAATTGAAGCCAGAGCTCGAACTCTTCTTGCGGGTAGTCAATGACAAAAATGTGTGAATCGTGATCCACAAACTCGTCGTAGGTTTTGTTTCGGAGAAAGGTTAGGCATATCTAAACCATGCAGTCAAACTTGCCTGGAAAGGGGCTACGCAGTTAGTTCACAAGGTATTGGATTTTGCCGGAGTTTGTCGGGCACACGATCAGAGGTTAAACGGAATGTTGTTTGGGTCCATTTATGGTTAAGACTGCACATGCATCAACTGTCTGTCCATAATGTTCATCTGAGAATCGCTGATTGTGAAAACGTGGCATTTCAGATTTCTCGAACCAGAGGGCTTTCTTTCGATTGCAAGGAAGAGACCGTCTTTGGTGTTCACAAAACGGACGCCGCTACCGTGCATTGTGGTGTCCGCCATGGAACGAAGGTCAATGATCGACCCAAACTTGTGATCCGTGTAAAACCTTGTGAGGTCCATTCTGCTTGCAACTTCTTTGGGCTAAAATAACTGGGTGATCTCCCGCCACATATCCTGCGCCTCGATGCTGTTGTTATAAATCCTGTTGGGTGAGCGGTTCACTGTGACGCTTACTTTAGTGGTGTCAGGATTAACGTATTTTTTCGCCTTTCGGGGTCCAGCTGTGCAGGGTTCGATAAAAAGCAAAAGAATGGCCTTGAGTGACCTGCGCTGAGGGTTCACCTCGATGTTGAGCCTGCTGGCCTTGGTCTTCTTAAAGGTCACCACCTCTTCCGCATGATGTGGTCAAAAGAGAACTCCTTGCTGCTGTTGTACACGATGATAGCTGCGTTGGCCAGCTTCTTGCTGAGGATGGTCTCATACTCCATCTAAGTGTTTGTCAGCTTATAGACCAGCTTTGATGCGTCTGAGCCTCTCAACCTGCGAAGCCGGCGAAAGTGTCAGTTCAAACACAATATCGTTGAAAAGGGCTTGTGGGTAGAAAACTCCGTGATCGCCCAGAATAGGGTGGTCCAGTCGGATGCGTTGCTTGTTGCCAAAAACGGCCTCCAGAGTTTTTTCACCGTCCACGCTCGTTGTCTCTGTCATCGGCGTTCGAGCGAATCTTACAAAGTTTTTCGGTTTGAATCCTCTCCAGCAGCATGTTAGCGCTCATGCAGTGGAAGGAAAAGATCCTTGTAAATTTGAAAATGTCATATCCCACTGTTTCTTGAGGAGTGGTGCCCGAACATTTTACAGCGAACTTGTCCACCAGTGCTCTCGAGACGTTCCTTACGAGAAAATTGTTTGCGTGGCCGCCGGTCAGATCGATGTTCAAACGCAGCGCCAGAGAAGCGGCCACGATGACCTCATTTTTATTCAGCTTGGGCACGTGAACGTTAAGTGTCTCGCCTGAGTTTGCCACACTGAGAACAAAAGTGATGCGCTCCCCGGTGCGCTCGGCCATTTTTTTGCTGTGCGTTGGTCAAAGAGTTTTTTAAATTGCAACTTTTTGTCGTCCATCATATCTATATATATAAAAAATGGCAAAGGGTGGTTTTGACAATGAAAACCCCAACTTTCACTGGCACCCCGACCACGATGATGACTATGACGATGACGAGCAAGAAGTTAACCGCACCCGACCATTTCAACTGGACACTACATCCACACCTTACCACCCAGGCGAACAAATTGAAATGCTCAAGTTTCCTGAAGAACAGAGCGGGCTGCCCGGAACCTTTTTTGCCGAAGACAAACCCCTGATTGGAGGTTTTTTCACGAAGACGACAAACGAGCAATACTTTACAGAGCAAGAGAGATTATCGAAAGAAGATTTCCGAAAGTCAGCTTCGCCAAACTTGGACCAATCGGCTTTAACAAAAAAGGAGATGAAGCTAAAATGGCTTCGTTTGGGCCAAAGGGCGGCGAGTCCGACATTTTCAAGAAAGACGATTCGGGCCAGCTGTGATCATTCAAAGATAGAATCAAAAATGCTCTTGGCCCAAAAACTGAAGATCATTGCAGAGGACAATAAATCAATCAGAGAAAAAAAAGACAACGATTACGAGAGGTGGAAAAACAACTACGAGAGAAGGAAAGAATTGCCGCCGGTCGCCGACGAGTCAGTGATGAGATGCAAAAGTTGAAAAACAAAATCGAATAAACCCAACCCAAGATTGATGCTTTTGATGAAGAAAATAGACGTGAAAGCGAATTGCAAAGATTGGAACTACTGAAAAAAATCTTCAAGAAGATTTTGAACGGGTTAAAAAAGAGCTCTCTCAAAGGTGATTCCATTGTTCAAACAAGGAGAACGCTCAGATTTGAATAATTATCGCCCATTTTCTGTCACGCCTATTGTGTCAAAAGTCTTTGAGATAATCATTTACAATCACTTGTACGGTTATTTAACTCAGAATGATCTGATATCCGGTCATCAATCTGGATTTCGATCTCTTCATTCCACGGTCACTGTCTAACTCCAAGCCACTGACAACTGAGCATTCAATATAGACAGGGGAAATGTGAATGCCGTGGTATTTCTTGATCTAAAAAAGCTTTGATACCGTCGACCACTCCATTATTTTGTCTAAATCGGACGCCTATGGTGTCTCTGGCTCTGCCTATAAGTGGTTTGAATCCTATCTTTTCTCCCGTGCTCAGAAATGTTTTGTAAACGGTTCTCTCTCGGGTAGCAAATCCCTCTCCTTCGGGATACCTCAGGGAACTATTCTAGGCCCACTTTTATTCACACTTTACATAAACGATCTGCCAAACTGACTAGAATTCTCTGTTCCTCAGATTTATGCTGGCGACACACACTTGACTTTTGCCGGTAGAGACCCTGATCTTATAGAGCGCAATCTAAACCAATTCCTTTCCAACATTAGCGATTGGTTAGTGGCCAACAAACTGACACTAAACAAATCCAAAACTGAATTCATGGTGATTGTGTCTCGGCAAAGGTTAAGGATTCTTGACCAATCTCCTGCTCTTGCGATTGATAATTCCCCAATCTCTCAAGTTGTCTCTACCAAATCTCTTGGTTACTAAAATCTCTAAAAAAGTATATAGCTTCGGGCATTGGTTCCCTAAAGCGCTGTCGTCCTTTCGTTCCTCTGGAAACCTTAAATATTTTATAAGAACAGCTTTAGAATTTTATATTAGTTATATGCCCGATGTTTTTACCGAGTTTGAATAAAGTTGCTTGACTTGACTTGACTTGATGACGTACAAAAGCTACCAAAACAGACAGAGAAATCAGAAAATAAGTCCATAAGCTGAGAAGAAGCCTTGCTTCCATGGAAAAGGAAATAAACACACTTGAAGAAAGTTTCAACAGCACGAAACTACTCGACGACCTTAGGGAAAAAGAATCCGAGCTTGAACGCCAAAACGAGGAAGATAAAGCAGTAATCAATGACAAAAACGCTTCGCCTTCTGAAAAAGAAGCCCCCGAATCCAGAGTAGCTGAGCGTGAAGAGGAGCTGGCATGGCTCAGAACAGAGATTGCGGAGAGAGAAAAAAGCATACCCCTTTTCGAAAGAGTAAAATAAATTATCAAAACATTTGGGTTCATTATCACTGCTATCATCCTTGCCGCCGGGACTGTCATTGGCGCTGTTATAGGAACGATAACAAACGCCCTGAAAGCACTGGGCAAAGGCGTGGGGAAAGGTCTGCAAGATATTGGCAAATAAAACCAGCGTCTCTTTTGCCCCGCCTCATCAGCTCGATCGTGAGTTTCATTTTCATAGCGGCAGGACAGGCCATCTCCTTTCTAGCAGAACACACCTGGCTTATAATTCTTGCTGTGCTCGCCTCTTTTACGCAAAATTTCTTCAAGCGCTTCCAAACAAACAGATCTGTCAAAACAACTGCTCCCACAACGATTAACACCTTGTTTTTGTCATGACTCGTGGTCGCTGGGGTTGGGTCGGGTCGTGCGGGTGGGGTGGATCTCTAATGTCGGTCTAAAAAGAAAAAAGTAATATGTCATTTTCTTAAAGCGAGAAGGCTTCCTTGCGTTCCTGCGTGTACAACAGTTGTATGAAGTGGGCGGAGTTATATTCCCAAAAAATCAAATCACGTCGCATAGAAGATTACCCCACGGCGAGAATATAGCAAATATATATATATATATCTAGCCGAATTTTTGAAAACATACGTCAAAATGCACCAGAATATTCGCACAGAAAGCTGGCGATAGCCAGCTTTCTGGTCACTGCGGTGAGAAAAAACATAGGGGGCTTGCTGTCCTGCTTGGTCTCATTGTCAAGTTCAGTCCCTGAGCTAACTCGCCATGGGTTGGAAAGGGGCCTCCATGTCAATCCCTAGGGGGGGAGGGTGCTGCAAAAGCGTTTTACCTTCCGTTAGTCCTGGTCTGGGGGAGTCAGTGCACTGGTCATGTCTGCATGCCTTTAGTTTGTCATGTCAAATTCTTGTAACGTTTGAGGCCCATTGGCCAATGAAAGCATTCCCCTCAAACACGTGCTAGGCTGGGGGGTGGAGGAAGTCAGGGGGGGGTGATTTAACCTTGAATTCTCTGCTTAGAACTTGCTGAAGTCTCAAGCGTCCTCCGTCATTCAGGGCCTTTAAGCAGCTAGAGTGTATGGACAAGTCCAGAGTGTCTTTTTGATGGACTTGAATGTTTCTTTTGCTAATCAGGAACCAAGAAGAGAGTCACCTTAAGAGAACCATGGGTAAGAGCTGAGTTTCTTGGCGATATTGACTTTAGTTGAGTCAGTTTAAGGTGTGTGGGCTCCTGGTGTCCGATGTTACGGTTTTCGTAAATCCGGCTAGATATACATTGAGCGTTTTGTGTTAAGTAAAAAGACTTGCAAAGGTCAAAAGCAAAGCCAAGCTACTTGTTTAATTTTTCTAGTTGAAACCGGTTTCTGTGAAGGACACTCCTCTATTATTTTATCATACTGCGCACGTACATTTTTCAGTTGTTTCCTGGTCCAATTTTATTGTACTATATTTTCTGTCAACGTCATATAGCTAGGATGTAAATGTTGTAAAAAGTGCAAAAAATAAAGAAAGTCAAAAGTTAAGTTCCCCTGACCTTTTCTTCCAAATACTTTGGGAGGTGGTACTGACGAAAATTTCGCGCTGTCTTCCATTGACCTCTTTCTGCTTCTCCTTGTGCAAGTAGCGCTCTGCTCCTGCAAATTGGGTAGATTGCATGCAGAAGTATCCTAAGCGTCATCCCACCAAGAACTGTCGTGTGACAGCATAGTAGTACAAGCTAGTTCAACAAAAACTCTTGCCTCTAAACTACCATAGAGTGTTCTTAATTAAGAGACTTTCAATAAATTTTGCTTGACTAAACATGCAGGAGTAGAGGTGTAAACCGATAACGAAGCTTCAACACTGAAATATAACAGCAATGTAAACTGCACTGACCTTTTTGTCGTCATCTTGGTCACAAAAATACCACGGCAAAACGTCACTGCTGCAAATTAAGGTAAATGGAAAGGTTCGCAGTCACCAAATGGGAGTGATATTATTTATTATTATTATTATTATAACATGAATGGTAAACTTTGAGATATTGGTAAGTGAGACAAATTAGAGGGTTTTCTTACATTGCTTAAAAGTCAGTATATACCCATCAGCATGTAAATTTGCCAACCTTTTTCACTTTACTTACAAAGGTGCATGAATCATTCTGACCTACACTGAAGTCAATCTTGTTCCCAAAGTCCGCAGTTTTTGAATTGTATTTGGTTGGTGAATAAAATGGTTAATGTTCCAGCATGCTCTATCATATCCTTAACTTGATGGAGTTTATTTTACAATATCCTTAACTACGGACTTACGCTGAACATCCTTCTTCATCGGTATCAATATCCCATGCCATAATACGACTTGGTGGGGTCATTCCAATCTCTCCAATTCGCCAAACTCTTTAAAGGAAACTTCGTCGTCATCTGCTGACAATGGTATGGGATCATCCCTCTGCTCTTTGTCAGCTGAGTAGTCTATAGACACAGACGGGTCTATCACATTGCCTGGTGTGCTGGATAACGAGAAGTACAGCGGAATAAGCTGCAGCGAGCCAATCCAATCGTACACTGCCGCCATCTCCTGGTTGGGTTTGAAGGCACGATTGACCAAGCCCAAGTCGATGTGGCGGACACGAACAACCACACGCGGTTCATCTACCGTTGGTTCGTCTAACACTCTTGACAAGCGAGCGGCGTGAATTTCTTCGTCCTTTCTTGCTTTATTTAATTCTTCCTTAAGGGCTTGTTCCCTACGCTCCGTTTTCGCGCGGTCTGCGCGCAGGCTTTCCGCATACTCTCCGTCTTGTTCCTCTCTCAGTTTGGCCCTTTCACGCGAGCTTCCTTTAAGCACTCCAAGAGTCTCCGACTCGGCTTCCGGTTCCCCCTCCTCAACTGAGATGGATAATGTTCCTCTTTGTCGCGTCCTCAGATACAGGCGGACACGAGTGAGCTTGTGGAGTTCGAAGTATGATTGAAGAGAGAAGTCCATTACATTACCTTCATGGGAGGTTAGGCTTGTTTTCACTTCACCCTTAAAGTTTGCTAACTCGCAATCCATGTCCATCCAATTTCCATATACTGATTTTCCTTGAGGGAAAAACAGGTTCCGAGCTTCCTCTAGAATGTCGGAAATGGTACTGTTGCCTGACATCGATACAGACCTAGTCCCCCCTCCAATGGACTGTCGAACAGCAACAAACCTTTTCTGGACTTCTGAGAAATGCTGCCAGCCTAACTCAAATTTTCGCGGTTTACCATAGGAGCTAGAGGGCGTATTTTTCTTCTGCCACTCAGGGCCACTTGAGCGCTTTACTTTCTTGCACCTTATTTTATCAATTAAGGACTGCTTTCGTTCTTCAGCATCTTTGCTTTTTGTCTGCTTTTCTTTTCGTTCACAAAATGAACGTAGAGCGTACAGGTCGCCCCTCGTCCAAGTTCAACTAGATAGTATTCGGGAGAGTAAAGCACTGCAGACCCGTCCATCTAGGAAAAGAAAATTTTAAAACATCGTCAGTGCTGGCGTTGCTAGTGTCCACTGAAACATTGATGATGGTTACCCATGATTCTATTCTACCTTTAACCCCCCCCCACCTTCCTCCTCGCATCCCACTTCCAAGGGATTTGCATTTATTCTTACTTGTCGATCATTTATTCTTACTTGTCGATCAATTTCCCACAACCCCGGGTGCACAGGAAGAGACAATTACCCATACCCAGGTGGACTTGTCCCGGGTGTCCTTTAGTAGCTGGGCTCAATTACTTGCCAGCAGATACCTTTATTTGATAAGTATAATTACGAAAACCAATGAAATTAACCTTCATTATTCCGTGGGATGCCTTGGCACTGAAAAGGTAAAAATCTATTGTTCGTGGGTTGTACTCCCGGTAAAAACCGGTTTTGCAAAATTGCAAAGCCAGCCAATAGGATTGCCTAAAATCTTTATCGATTATCTCTTCTTCCAGGCCGACCAATCAGATTGTACAAAATCTGTATCGATTTTTAATCGATTTGCTTCCTCTGAAGAACTTTGAAATCAGAACGTTCCTTGCCAAATTTGTCGCGCTTGAGTTTTCCCACTCGTGGTTTAGGATGGCTAGTTAACCAGTGAAATCCTTCGGGATACTGGCAAGTCACGAAAGGCGACCTAAGCCAAATTATTTCTTTCCTTCATGATTCTATTTTGTTTAGGTCTAGCTTTTTCATAAGGTTTTAGTAGCGTCTGGTTGCGGGCCATGATTTCCGACAGATTTTTCTATTCGGAGTTCACCAGTTTTTGCCGAGCACAGCTAGAGTTCAGTTATTTTCTTTTCTTATCGAAAGCACCTTGACGATGGGAGGTTAAATCGCGTAAATTTCAACTCGTACGCTTGACGATTGGCGGTGAAATCGCGAAAATATTGTCCTCGTCGATCGACGACTCGCTTTCGGCATGGATTGGACTTCTGGATGGGACACGGATCAGGAGTGGACCTTAGTAAACTTATGATACCTTGGAATCAGGGATAATCATTGGAACTATGTTAACTTTGAGACCTTAGAAACACATTGCAATTAATTTTTAACCGTATCAAGGGCATCTTGGAATATTAAACTTTCATCTTGGATTAAAACATTGGAACTTTATCGAACTTTGTAACCCTGGGTTCGATCCTGGATAAAGCAAGCGGATGTTTTGTTTTGTTTTGTTCCATTAACCTAAAACTACAATGGTTATTTCTCTTTGAAAAAGTTACCTGTGGCTACTTACTACCAAGATATGACGTATCTTTATACATATAGTTCCTGTTCAGGTTAATCAGAGAGCATTATGCGCATGTTCTGCATTACTTGTTTCCGTTAACATTCCATTTAAGGTAAATGGGTAAACCTTACCTTGATGCAAAATAACTTCTTTTTCTTATCCAAATCGGGCTATGAAAATAACTACAAAGCGATAGATCAAAACAAGATCAACTCCATCCTTGCGACCAGTGACAACTATAAATTTAGCTTGCGTAGCAGGTGTCGAAAGGAGTAGGGGATAGGGAGGAAGCAAAAAGGGGATGTGGATTGGGGAGAAATAGTAGCCTGTCACGCAGGGTACTATAAATTCAGTCATAAGCACATTAAACCAACTCATACAGTTAACCTAATCATCGATGCTCATAACATGTCACATCTTTCCGGTGGTTTCCCTAATTTTTTTAAATTCAGATAGAACGCTATTATGCTTCCATAGACCAACGCATCCCACGGAAACGACTTTAGGCGTCTTGTTTTTATTTATATGGTCAAACAAGTAATAGCATTTCCAAACAAACAGCTTTTACGTGCGTGGATACCACAGTATAATTACGTAAACACCAATGAAATTGAGCTTTCACGAGAAAACATGATATCTTCACAGGTGAAAATAACATGTTATCTTCACACGTGAAAAGATCACCATTGCTATTGTTCCGTGGGATGCCTGTGGCACTCCCACGGTAAAAATCCGATTCGGTTGTACCCACAATTGCAAAGCCAGCCAATAGGATTGCGTAAAATCTTTATCGATTATCTCTTCTTCCAAGCCGACCAATCAAATTGTACAAAATCTGTATTTGCTTCCTCTGAAGAACGTTGAAATCAGAACGTTCCTTGCCAAATTTGTCGCGCTTGAGTTTTCCCACTCGTGGTTTAGGATGGCTTGTTAACCAGCAAAATCCTTCGGGATACTGGCAAGTCACGAAAGGCGACCTAAGCCAAATTATTTCTTTCCTTCATGATTCTCTTTTGTTTAGGTCTAGCTTTTTCATAAGGTTTTAGTAGCGTCTGGTTGCGGGCCATGATTTCCGATAGATTTTTCTATTCGGAGTTCCTGGGAGTTCGCCAGTTTTTGCCGAGCACACCAATTGTTCTGTTTTTTTTCTTTTCTTATCGAAAACACCTTGACGATGGGAGGTTAAATCGCGTAAATTTCAACTCGCACCCTTTGAAATCGCGAAAATGTTGTCCTAGTCGATCGACGACTCGCTTTCGGCATGGATTGGACTTCTGGATGGGACAAGGATCATTACATGAGTAAACTTTTTATACCTTGGAATCAGGGATAATCATTGGAACTATGTTAACTTTGAGACCTTAGAAACACATTGCAATTAATTTTTAACCGTATCAAGAGCATCTTGGAATATTAAACTTTCATCTTGTATTAAAACATAGGAACTTTATCAAACTTTGTAACCCTGGGTTCGACCCGGGATAAAGCAAGCGGATGTTTTGTTTTGTTTTGTTCCATTAACCTAGATAGAACGCCATTATGCTTCCATAGACCAACGCATCCCACGGAAACGGCTTTAGGCGTCTTGTTACATAATAAATCCCGCTTTCGCAGTGAAAGTGAAGTGGTTTGGTATTTCATTAGTGTTTATATGATACCTGTAAATAGCTGAATTGTCTCCAGTCATCTCCAAGTTGTTTACTCATTAATTATTTACTAGGTAAGCGCCTGGGTTATTGCCGGATTTCATACCTTGAGGACCTGGGTACGAGTCCATGTATTATGGGATTATTAACACAAGACCCCGAGCTTTACAAAATCGTCAAGTTTCGTGTTAATTGGACCAATATTGAACAAGATACAGCCATTCAAAATCGTAAAAATTACTAAGAAAAGACAAGTGTCCGGCCATCCATACATTTTTTAGTAATTTTTTAAGATTTTGAGTGGCTGTATCTTGTTCAGTATTGACCCAATTAATACGAAACTTGAGGATTTTGTAAAGCTTGGTGCGCTCTTTCTGAATATCGGGTCTTGTGTTGATAATCCCATAATACACCGACTCGTACCCAGGCCCTCACGGTATGAAATCCGGCAATTGTAAATAGAACATTACATGGCCGCCCAGAGATGCTAATTTTCTCTTTGAGTGAAATTTCATATCTCCGCACGGCCATGTAATATCCTGTATTTCTTACCTTTTGTTCTCGAAACCTGGAGATAATCTTTCCTCCAGAAATTTACGAACCTGTAATTAGACTGTAAAGTTTGTTCGGAGTCAGGGAAACCGATGCATCAGACAACTTCTGCTCGTTCAATCGCAGGCATTAGGAAATTGACTGTTTTTCTCATTCAGTCACAAGGACGTAAGATTAATAGAGAAAAACACAAATTATTCCCCAGGAACCTCTTACAATGGAGAAGAAATCTAACCTGACACATACCTCGTCAACAGTCGCAGCCATAACTCAAGCGATCATCCCGGGCATCGTGCAGAGCTCTGTAACCGTGCCTTTGAAATTCATCGCGCGATAATTTTCCATTTATCGCGCGATAATTTGAATTTATCGCGCGATAATTCTCAATTTATCGCGCGATATAAAAAGGTAAGTAGCGTGTCCTCTATGGGCCACCGTATTAAACTGTGACCATTGGGTTTTTCCCATTCCATTCCGCTCAGGATAGGCAATTTTGATTGATGACTTCGATGAATCAGAAGCCGCAAAAGCCAAACTCTTGAGTCCTTGAGTGACTTTCGATTACAAACAGCGAAAGACTCGCCATGACATTCCTCAAAACAATGCAGTTGAGTGGACGTTTCTGCAACTTTACGGGGCGTGATACAGCCTTCCAGCGCTGAACACTTTAAACTGTGGCTATCGGCGTTTTCTCCATTCTTTTCCGCTCAGGAAGTTACATTTTGATTGATGACTTCTCTAAATCAGAGGCCGCAGAACGTTAACTACACTCGTTTTGAAACATCTTAAGAATCGCCATGACATTCCCCGCAGCTACATGATATTTATCGTTAAAATAATACTAAATCTTCCTTGTTTGGTCATGACATTTGCTTGAAAGGCCGGCCACATACCCTCTCAACATTCTTGGCATTCAAGATACATAATTCCATTAGCCTGTGGGTTAAAATAACGAAGAAACCAAATGGCATCGGGCGTCTATCTTGGTGCTTCGCGCCAAATTTGCAAGCGGATACGAAACAAGTCCCCCCAACCCCCCCACCCCCACTGGAACCGTCCTTAAATCAAAGACTTTTCGCCGTTACTACGCTACCAGCCTTAGTATAGTGGTGTAGTGGTAAGGTAACGTCGCGTCTAGCCGAAGGTGCCGGGTTTGAGACCTGGTATAGAACTTTTTTATTTTTCCTCTTTCTTTCTTTTTTTTTCCGTTTTTGTTTCGGTTTGTTTGCTTATTTGGTTTGTTGTTTTTTTATGAATATATGCCTAAATACATAACTGCAATAAACAGCAAAAAGTATTGTGTTTCCAGAGAAAAGATAGTATATTAAATATATGGATAAACAATCTGAATTTCTATCATTTCCTACAATTTACCGTGGGAAAGCCAGAGTTGATAACCTTTCGATTATTTTCTAAACAATGTTCCCAAGAGTTTACGATAGTCTTTCTTTGATTTGACTTGAGGTCACATGTTGCAAACCGCAGCA